AGATTGAATTTTACAAAAAAAAGCTCAGAACTTTTTTGTACACCTAATATAATATATAAATACAATATGTATATGCTATTTATGATATGTTTAATACATATTTATATTTTTATAATAAATATAAGTTTTACAATATTATCTTTATATATCCATGAATTGTCAAATCTCAACTATTTCACGTAAATCTCGTTCCCCCTCTTGCACAACATCTTTTCAACGAGATGCACATCGGAGTTAGCAACTCTATGCAATTCGTATTCGTAAAATCCTCCAGCAATAGACTCTCCACGAGAATCTTCCAGAAGATACGTCACTGGATTAGTTTGTTGCACTTTGATAATTTTAAACAACTTCGAGCTCTAATTCGACGTGTAATCTTTATCAAAGACTGTCTTGAATTTGCTCACGCATACCGAATCACCCACTTTGTATCGCGCGGATTCTGCAATCTTTACGCGATTGTAAACCGTGGAGCCTGTCGGCGATCGCGGGGGTATGTCAACGGGACGCATACCAATTGTTCGATGCTTATGCGCGTAATTTGATACGAGACGTGACAGGATGTCGATCCATTTGTAATTTTCATTGTACGTAAATTGTTTCCACATGTTCTTCAACGTACGGTCGAACTGTTCGACGACCAAGGCCTTTATTACGGAATACGTAGAATAATGGTTGATGTTGTGCTTCTTCAAGAATTTCTGCACATCCGAGTTGTAAAATTTCTTTCTCTGTCAGTATGCAAATTTCGAACATCTTCCATCGTCTCGAATTATCTTTACGATCGCTTTGCGTAACCTCGTTCCCGTTTTGGCTTTGAGCGGCTCGCACATGCGTGCGCTTACTCAGCACGTCGATAACGGTGAGAATGTAGTGGTAACCTCTGTTGAATCGTGTATAAGGACGTATCTCGATCACATCCGCTTACCACAGGTCATCATATCCGTGTACTGTGACATGTCTTCGCGGAAAAGCTTTTTTCTTTTCTTCTCTCCGGAATATGCAATTCATCAACCAGCAGACGTTTCTTAGACATTGCGGATAATTATTCGGCATAATGTACTTCTCGAATCATCTTTTCAAGTTCGTTTAGCATAACCTGGACATTATTTTGTAAGGCTACAATTTTTTTCTCGATTTCATTTAGACGATCTTTCAAATCTTGAACACTCTGCTGCACGTATCATTTGTTTGCTGCGTCAGCATCATCCACAGGTAGCGCTACTCGTCGAATCTTGCGCGACTTTGCGTCAAAGTCAGCTGCGGCTATGCAAAGAGCGTTATCGCGCACATAATTTCTGAACAATCCACGCCACTGATAGTGCAATTCGCTTTCTTTTCCAAGCGATAGTCCAAACTTGTTGCTTGGCATTGCTATGTCAACTGAAAGATGTGAGCAGAACGAGGTTAATTTATAACCAGACCGATTTCGCGAAGCTCTTTAATAATCGACAGAATCTCGTTTTCGTGACCATTGTGACCCACCTTGCGCGAGGCCTCGAGCAATCGCTCCACAATTTCATTGGGATCGTCCCAATGCATATAGTCGATCTTGTTATCATTTAGTGTCACCGTAAGCGGTAAATCTACTCTTTTATTTATTCCTGTTCCAACTTTTTTACCCGACATCAATGGCGCTATTATATTCTTATGTACTTGTACCCCTTACTACCCATTACTTGATTACTCGGGCTATGACCGCGCCGGTGAGCATTTGTAGTCAGCAGAATGCTCCTGTACGTACAGATACTTTCGTTGGGAAATTTCACGAAAATTAACTTGTACAAGCCCGGCGTTCCGTCGTATCTTTTTCTATCTATAATTATATCCTCGTTTTTGTGCAAGGTGATACGTTTGTCACCAAGCATCGTTCCCTCGTCACTGAAATAAACTCCATGCACAACATCTATGTTGACGCTTTCTTTCTTTCTTACTGCTTTCAAATATTTTTGTCCCAACGGACCATAGTTTGCATGCAGCTTTTCTTGTCTCTCGGATGTTTGAAGCAGGTGTCGAATAAATGCGATAAATGCGAAATAATTACAAGCGATCCATTAGAAATTTCTTCGATGGTCGGAGCGTGGTCATACGATAAATCGCGTGATTGTATTATTTCAGATATTTCGTTCAAAGTGAATGGTACGGTTTTCGATTGACTCAACATTTATTTCACAGGCGTGGAAGCCTGTATAGGATTGTTGTACAAAGCACTCGGTCGTTATCTTTTGAGTTTTGATTCCTCGTCTTCTCACGAAAAGAATGTTTAAAATATAAATTTTGAGCATCGTTTATGTAGCTGAAAATAAACATAAATTTTACGACATAAATCGCAGAAATCTTCATAGGACATATCGGTATTTACGTAATCGTTGTACACACGTTTCAGATTGGTACCATCCTATTTGAACAGGATTAATAGATTTGCATTGTCGCGTATAAGGTGCTTCGATATCTTTGCGTACATCTGACAGAGATAGAAGCAGTCAACGTCCGCGTGTCGTCCCATTGCAAAGTACTCTCTTATCACGTCCTGCTTGTCGCATGCCACGTCATCAAAGATAAAAATGGAATTCGGAAGCGCCTCGCTCGGTGGAATGACGTCGCTGTTATTAGAGAATGTAAAATAACCGATTTCCTCGATCAGTGCTAACAAGTATCAATATTTCGGTTGTTGCAGCGATTTCGAGTACATGTACATGTTCTCGAATCGTACGCCGAGTGTTCCAATAAGCTTATCATCATGTTCGTCTTGCCACAATTTGACGGTCCGCAGACGACAGCACTATAGATGCCAGTAGCATATCGCCATGTTTGCGCGTCTCTTTGTCGGTTTACACTTTGCCGTCAAGATTCGTCACTTTGATCGTCCGCAATTGGCGCACAAACTGCATATTTTCTCTTTCCACAAAATACTGAAAACGATATTGCGAGCGGGCCTATTTATAAAGCTGTGTAGAGTAAAATCGATCAGTAATCAAAAAATTTCTCGTCGTGTCGGATGATCTGCACAGTTTAATTTCAGAAGAATTGGAATACATACCGAAAATTGTACTGCTGCGAGAATTTGATGATTGCATAGATCTGTTGCGGGACAGATTACCTGAGCATACCATCTGATCAAATTTGACCCGGACTGATTAAAAAAAACAACAATTTTATGTATTTTAATACAAATCTTTATGATCGCCTTCAAAATAGCCTCCTTCTGAGCCAATACAAGCATGCCAACGATTAATCCAATTTTCCATACACTTCTTATAGGCCTCGGCCGGGATGGCCTTTAGTTCCTTCAGCGAATTTCTTTTTATGGCCTCAATCGATTCATGGCGCGTTCCCCGGAGCGGATATTTGAGTTTCGGAAACAGAAAAAAGTCACAGGGAGCCAAATCTGGCGAATACGGTGGCTGAGCGATGACTTTTATTTCGTGTTTGGCCAAAAATTCAGTCACAATCAGGCTGGAATGTGACGGCGCATTATCGTGGTGAAAAATCCATGAATTGTCTGCCCACAAATGTGTTGAGTCGATCCATAAGAGATGTTGAGAGCTTCTGCTATCTCTCTAATGCCAACACGACGATTTTCAAGCACAATTTCCTTCACTTTTTCCATGTTATCGTCGTTAACAGAGGTGGATGGACGACTCGCATGAGACAAGTTTTCTACGACCTCACGACCCTCACTGAATGCTTTATGCCACTCAAATACTTGCGTTCTCGATAGAGTAGACTCCCCAAAACACTTCTGCAACATTTTCAATGATTCCGTAGCCGTAATTCCATTGGAAACACAAAATTTCAAGCAAACTCGTTGTTCAATTTTTTTTTTCATAGTAAAAATCGCCAGAGAAACTTTTTGCGTCGTAAACAAATGGCTGCCAAACACACACTAACTGACGTATCCCGCTCAAATTTCACACGAATGTCAGAGAAGGTTGTACCAATCTAGAAAAAAAAAATTTTTACCGATTCAATTTACGCGCGCGGTTTAAATGGACCAGTCCGGGTCAAATTTGATCAGATGGTATACGAGCAGATTCGAAGGTACGTTCATTGCCTGAAGCATTACAATTTATCGAGTCATCAAACGCATATCAACGATCCGGCGCCTTTGATTAAGAATTGCAGCGAATGTCGTCGAGAAGCTTTAAATCGTGCGATAAACACGCTTCCTTTCAAACTACATATTCCCGGATGTCAATTTTGCGATCCGGGAACGATATTGGAGAAGCGATTGGCTAGAGGTAATCAAGGAATTAATTTATTGGATGCAGCGTGTCGCGAGCACAACATAGCGTATTCACACAGCAATGATCTCGTTGAACATGAGGCTGACAATATACTCGCCGAGAAAGCGCGGAAACGCATTACCGCGAGTGATTCAACTCTCAGAGAGAAAATCGCAGCCACAGTAATTTGACAGCTATGAAGACCAAAACGAAGATTGATATCGGTTTGAAAATAAGGAAGAAAAAGAGCAAGTGAATACTTCCGGCAGCGAAATGCGGCAGTGTCCTGCCTGTTCTACCGCTGCGGCATTCTCGGGTCATTGGTGGCGCGGTGGGAATCGCCAAGACAGTAAACGATAACAAAGCGGCGCAGCGTCAGCTAGAAGAACTGCAATATCATAATCGTGCCATGGAAGGTCTCGCTCCCTACAAGCGCGTAAAAAAAAAACGTCGATGAAACGTTAAAAATGCCGAGGGGAGTAACTATCGATGTGCAATTGCAACAACTAGCAAACCGTATGCGCATTCTATATTTTAGAGGCATCTTTATGCGTATTACATTATCGATCGAAGGAATACGTCAAAATGAGAGTGATATCGTAAATCTGGACAATGCCGAGGGACCTGATACGCATTGGGTAGCGTATGCGAAAAGAAGGAATCGCGTACTTTCATAGTTCATGTACTTTGATAGTTTCGGCAATCTTCAAAGAAACTTGAACGGTATCTGGCAAACAGTGTAATCGAGTACAATCGCACGCCTCATCAACGTTATAGTCAGAACAATTGCGGGCAGCTTTGTCTACAGTTTCTACGAACGGTTGACAAGCAATTTAAGAACCGACATTGCGCTGTTTAACTCAGTGCTCGTTTGAAACATGTCGCTGACGTTTACGCTGACCGGCAAGAGTAGCGTCCTCGCCGTGAGCTACTTTTCAGCGGTAGATTTGAGCGATTACGAGCTCGGTCTGACGGACTTTGAAACGTACTTATATTCTAGCCCATGTAATGTAAATTCAACAAACAAGTTTTACTATGGCAACGAGAAAATTGTCATTCCCGAAGGATCGTATAAACTGCGTGATATAGAACAGTATCTGAAGCATAAAATTTTACGTTCTCACGATGTGAAGGACAAGGATAAAGAGTTCCCGCTGGTTATTCGCGCCAACAACAATACGATGAGAAGTGAAATCAAATGCGCCTATCGAATAAATTTTACAAAACTTCACAACATTGGCTCGCTGCTGGGATTTTCGTTGAATCGCGTGTTGGAGCCGCGATAGTGGCACGAGTCGGATGTGTCGATAAATATCATCAACGTGAATATTATACGCATCGAGTGCAATGTGACTGTGAGTGCGTACAGCAACAACAGGTGCGTGCACACGATATACGAATTTTCGCCGAGCGTGCCGCCGGGATATAAGATATCGGAAAGGCTGACACAGATCATTTATCTTCCGATCATTGTACGGAGCATTACGGATCTGAAGATTTATATGGTGAACTAAGACAGTCGATTGCTTGATTTTCGCGGAGAAGAGATCACAATTAGGTTACATGTATAGCGGTGCTAACGTGAGATGTTTGCGTTGAACGAACAGCCGAAACAGACGAGAGACACACCTTTTACTGGAAAGACTACACCCGGAAAGAAACTGCGTCTAACGTTGTATTTAAATTAAAATCGTTGGGTTTCATCGTACGAAATGGCTGATATCCTGAATATTCCTAGTGAACCGATGTTTGACGACTGCATCGTCAAGATTAGGACTCACACGTACAATCCATACACCAACACTACGTTTGGGCATAGCGACGAGGTACCCATACAGCAGCAAGATTTGTACACATTGCCGTGCGACAGTTTTCTCTACATCAAAGGAAGATTGATAGTGAAGAAGAAAAACGATCAGATGTCAACGACACTTAGAAATAATTACGTAGCGTTTGATGAAATTCGATATGAACTTAACGATATGGAGATTGACCGCAACAGAAACGTGAAATTATCAGTACCATCAAGAACGTGTCAATGATGTACGACAAAGCTTTGATTGCCTTGAACGCAGGATGGAACTCTAAATCTGACACGGAGGAAGGATACTTTAATTTTTGCGTTTCGCTCAACATGCTGTTGGGCTTTTACGAGGCAGTGACGGATGCCTCACGTTAAACGAGATCAATAAATTATCAATGCTGCGAGCATTGAAAAGCGGTCGTTATCTGAGCATGAGTTTTCGCTCGTGTGATCTGTATCCCCTGTTACAAAATACGATCAAGCATTTATGGGCTGTCAAAATGACGATTCAACTTGAAAAGCCGCGATATGTTATCTTTGCTCTGCAGATCGGTCGAAAGAATGTCATGTTACGAGATGTTAGCGTGTTCGACGATTGTAATTTGAGTAACGTGAAAGTATATTTAAATTCAGAATTTTATCCGTACGATTTCAATCTAGATTTTGTAAAAAGAGATACGCCGACCTGTTTAATATGTACGCGCGTTTTCGTAAAGCATAATAGGGAAAGAATCAATTGCTTTGAAACA